TGGCGCTATAAGTCTATGTGTATGTCGCCACGACGCTATAGCTATTTGTGCTTATGTTGAGGGATTGATGCGGACTTCGGCAGCGACGGCAGCGCAGTGTCAGACACCGTCGGCACTCAACATGTAACGTTGCTTTTTCTACTGCACTAATCAAAGTGTGGGGTATTTTGCAATACAGCTACTGTGCTCTTTAGCTGTCATATATAGATGATTTTGTCGAACGTTTCAGTATTGATCACAATTGCTCTTCTTGTTCAGTACACAGTAATCATGAAGAATGAGAATGAATTATCATGAATATGTGCCACAACGCTATGCATCATCGCAACGCTCACAAAATGCTCGCTAGCACGCTTCATCGTTTCGTGGCAAATATGCCGTATGCAAAATCTCCCATGCTACATACACACTTTTTTCTTCGGCCCATAATGTACTGCCAAGGGTGCTATGCATTATTCTACACATCACGCTCAATCCATGAACACCCTGAATACCTACATCTCCTTCCGAACTCATGCTCGTACGTCATTGAGGTCGACAGCGACCACCGCGATCTCTAAGGCGCTGGCTCGCCTCTTGGGACGAATGGAGGTGACGACTGACCATCAGATGGCGGTGCATCCGAATTTGTCTCTCGGTTGACCGTCTGAGGAGTGACAGTAGTAGTCGAGTTGGATGAAGAATGAAGAGGCCCCGAAGGTGTTGACACTGGCTGAACAGGTTCCGAGGTAGTTGTTGAGGCCTCGGGTTGGGTGGCTGCGCCAGCTTCTACCTGCTGCGTACTGTCGACATTCAGGGGTGATGGTGCTTTAGCGAATGGCTGCACAGGAGGCGTTGTAGTGACGGGTGACTTGGAATTCCTGTCCGGGGATCGCGCAACTGATCGGGGTTCAGTCAGTGCAGCTGGGAGATCTGTCCGCAGAGCCATGGCAGGACTCATCCTGGGCTTCGGGCTTCCCGGCATAGGTACGTTCGGGGGCGTTGGACTCATCCCGGTAGGCGTAACGTCGCTGGATTTGTCTGCTTTAGGTTGAGGCTCCTCCACCGGTGGTGGTACATCTGGTGCTCGTCCTCGAACGGCGAAGGATTCTGTTGAATTCATCATGTTCTGGGGAGAAGGGAGATGACTAGAGCTGCCCGGTGGACTCTTGGCTCTTTCTCTCCGATCTAAACGCTCTTTATGATCCTGTCGGCGCTTATGGAACCAGTCGAATGCACCTTTCTTGTCGGATCTGTCGTGATCAGGGGGACTGCTGCCGAATAGCATCGACGTTTCAGAGCCGTGATTCGACTCGTACTGCCCACTTCTGCGTCCTCCGCCCGTCCATCCGGAACTACTCGCGAACGAGCTCATACTCTTGTCGGCGCCAGGTACTGAACCGTGGAGATCTGTCTGACTTGCTGTCGGCGTTGCCTTGCTTTCCCCTCGTCTGTGGCCTTTCCAAAAACTGCGCTTCTCCTCTCTTGGTTGTTCTTCCAGTTGCTCGTTCTCCGAGTATTCTGTTGCCGTCGAATGAGATCTGAAACTAGCAGAAGGCGACATGCTAGGTTTGAGTGTGTTCCCGGAGGCCCGCGAGGAGCCTGTGTCTTGCAAAACCTCTCTAGAGCTGTTGGCGTGCGACTGACCATGGGCAAAGGGAAGCGAGGGTGGCTGCAGTGGCGAAGGAGGTCCGTGAGAAAATTGACCACCAAACCCTGAATCGCTACCACCAAGAGAGTGCGTGGAGCTATGCGTACTCTGGCTGATACTGTTCGGCAACCTCTTCTTCTGCAGCTTGTTCGGTTTCCGTCCGTCTTTCGCTTCCTTGGACTCGTTCGGAGGGGATGCCGCAACCTTGGCTAGAATTTGTGTAAATGTACGAACAGCAGGAGTCATCTCAATTGACGGGCCTGAGTCAACAGGCCCTTCCAAGAACTCTGACCGCTCACGCGTTGGCGTGTGACGAGGACTACGCTGAGGACTACGTGGACCGGGAGTAGTGGACCTTGAAGGTAACAAGTTCTGCGCCGACTGGGCGACGACGTTCGGGGTAGTGGGCTGACTCGGTGGGATGACGCCCGGAGACGGCAGAGGGAACCCGCCTGGCATGTTGTGGGTGGCAGGTGTGACTGCGGGTCTATTCTGTGAAGGCTCTGTCGGTTGCATAGCCATTCCCTGTTGGGGGAAGGGTTGGTATGGGACCGGCATCTCGATCTTGTTCGGTGGCATGGTCTGCGCACGTTGTGGCGGTGGCAGTTCCTGATCGGCAGGCTGTGTGGCTGATATTTGCTCCGCTGCGGGTGCGACCGCCTGTGGGGCTTCCTTCGTTCGTATAGGCAACTCCATCTCCTGCTGTGGGGCAACATTCTCAGGAACATCAGCAACCTCTGGGGGCATGGGAGACGAAAGAGGGCTCTTGGTCTCTTCAGGGCCGATTTGCTTTGCAGCAGGGAAGCGGGGACTCCCAAGCCCCGGGGAGCGCTTTGAGGGCAGCGTGTTGCTTCGGTGCACTCCAGAGGTCGTGGTCGAGACGAATGATGGTGCGATTGGGCTGGGAACAGCGGGCGAGTGTCGTGAACGCTTCGAAGACGTGGATACATTCCTGCGGACGCCGCCATACATGCGAAGGCTTTCTGCACCAGCGCTCGAAGTGGTCGAAGCCGATCGCCCGATGCCAGAACTATTGCGGGGTGTGGTGGGTGTCCTTGCCTGTGGGGTAGAAGGCCCGCTTTCAATGTGCTTAACGGTACCTTCATCGACAGCTGTGCCTTCCATACCAATTAAGAAGTGATCCTGGTTGTCGATGAGAAAGATGAGCACGTCCTGGCTCAGACGATAATCTTGTGGAGACATATCGTGCTGCGGATGTGAGAGCAGTCCGGGCTGGAAGATGGCAGCCAAATTGGACGTTGTCATCTTGTTAACATCAGCCTTGGCGGCAAAGACTGCGAGCAAGTCTAGGATGTACAGCAGCAATTGCCGGTTCAAAGACGGCAACGCCTTAATCTGATGTTGATATATGCGCACAGCCGCATCGGGATCGAAGCCTCCGACTGAAGGCTGCTGTCCTTCACTGGCGCCTACTGCCTCAGCCTGATGGCCTTTGAGCGGATTCCGGAAGGGGTCATAATGTTGCAGCGGTATTATAGGCTCCGGGAGATTGTTGAAGTAGCGGCGCAGAATATTGGCGGCGTCATGTACAGTATAGCCGGACCAATCCAGACCTTTTCCATAGCGGGGTGGGGTGTCAAAGGCCGTCCGGAGTTCCTTGATGCGCTTCTCGGAGCCTGCTAATCGGAAGATGCCTTCTACGTCGGTCGCTGTGCGCTGTTAACAGCTGATGGGTGATGGGATTAGCTTCACTGACCCTTTTCCTTCAGAAAGACACCGCATTTGGCGACGACTATTGGGACGTAACCATAGATGTAGCTTTCGCCGTGCTCGTTGAATAGCGAAATAGCGACGTTGGCATAGGGTATGCTTTGTATGAGGGGTACACCAAAGATGCCAGGGAGGGCGGGTTCTACGTGCGGCCACAACAGTCAGTGATTGTTCGCGACAAGAAGAGGCGGGGAGCTGCAGGCACAGTCGCAGCGCATTGCTGGCTTCAGCCGCCAACGAGGCTGAACTCGCGGACTCGACATGTGAAAATGCTGGCAGTGGTGTCGTACCTTTCTCGTCCTCCTTTTTCGCGGGGCGCTTGCTGAACTGCCTCCACCACGATGTCAAGTCTCGACGCGACGAGGCAGGTTCTGGTGTCGCGAACGGGGCGGGCTGGGGCTCGCCATTGCGCACGCGCGGCGTGTTGGGGTTGGTGTGGGTGCCTGCGGGAGCCATGGCAGGCGGTGGTGTGGAGAGCGTCGCAGCTCCAAGGGTGTAATATGGCGGTCGTGGAGCGCAGCGTCTGGCGTGTGTCCAGGTACAGGTGGGCCCGAAGTGGGCAGGCGGCAGCTGTCTGGGGGCCGCTATGTGACGTCGGAGGGTAGCGAGTCGAGGAAGCGAGGTAGCGAGCGTGCGCGAGATGTCAGCGGGGTCGTGACGGCGTTCGTGTAGGCGGATCCTGCAATATTGACGTCTTCCTTGGTGGAGAGCAGAGCGAGCGAGCTGCTGGCGCGAGACTGGGTCTAGGACGCGACGGGCGGTTAGGGGTACAGGTACAGCTGCAGGATGTCGTCGGAGGGTTCAGCGGCCTGGTCGGGCGCAATATCGAGGCGCGCCTGAAACTGTGGCTCGAGGCGACTTGGGCCTGCAGGGTCGGCGTCTGGGGAGGGCAATGATCGCAGTCGGGGCGAGGCAGTCGAGTGGCAGCCCGCTGCTCGACTGACGAAGAGCAGCAGGTTAGCGGCCGTGATGTGTGGCTGCGGGCCAATTGTGAGCATCCAAGGAAGACGGCACGGCGTCGCCTGACTGACAGACACAAACGCGAGGCTTGAGGCCCCTCGACGGCAAAATACAGCGGCGATCAATACGGGTAGCGGATGCAGCTGGCTATTAAGAGGCCATGTTATTGTGTTATTATTTTGCTATGCTGGAGTCGGTTCCAATAATAACGACCGTCTTGGCGGGAAAGGTACAGGTCAGGTACTGGTACGGCCATGCAGCGGGAGCCACACAATATTGGTGCGACGCATCCATTGCCACATACTGTCCAAAGTGCCTTCCAAGATCTGTCCCAGAGACGACCCGCTGAATGCGGCTGCCATGAAGTCTCCACGCCTGCTTCCCGTGGTTCGGTGACTGGAGAGCGTGGACGGGCCGCCCGGTGGCCTAGCTCGCGTCTACACTTTTGGGTGCAGGCTCGTCAGCACAGCATCCAGACAACCACCCGACGTCATACCAAATTTCCGCGTCGAGCCACCCTTCCGTAAACAATAATCCTGCCACCACACACGACCAGGCATCATGGAGTCGTATGTACTTGCCCCAATTGGCATCACAATAACTAATCACATGTAGACTCACAGCATCTGAGCAGCGCGAGCTGCAGTCGCGCATGGAGAAGAAGCAGATGAAGGAATTCATGAACGTACGACATCCGCATTCTATGCTGCACGACAACAATACTGACCATCACAGATGTACTCCAACCTCGTCCAGCAATGCTTCGACCACTGCGTCAACGGCTTCGAGAGCAAGTCCCTCACCTCGCGCGAAGAGAGCTGCGTTATGCGATGCGTCGACAAGCACATGAAGGGCTCCCAGCGATTAGGCGACCGCTTCCAAGAACAAAACGCTGCCATGGCACAACAAGGTGGCATGGGCGGAAGATAAAATTCTGCGAGATGAGCGTACGTCGTCAGCTATGAGCCGGTAGCAGGCTCAGCGGCGGCGGTGGCTATTTCATGTTATTTGGATCACAATATCTGTACAATAGAAATGATTTCTGGAATCTGGCTGGGAGGGGGCTATGATCTATGGCCTTGGTCAAGCAAGCTACAACCTTGCACTCAAAATCAACAAGCGCTCAGTTGCCGCTGTCACATGTCTCCGCTTCATGCCTATCTGGGACGAAATGTGCGGTGAATGTGTTTGCAGATGGCTAGCCGGTTTGTACGCGTGCAAATCGAGTCGCAGCTGACAAGCTAAAGGCGCCCGAATTCCAATGCTAGCTGTTCACAGCCGCGAACGTCGTCATGAGAGTGCCACGAAACACCAGTTCGGCCCTTCTAAGATACGGTGTTGTGGCGCACCACTCTGCGTGCACTATGGGCAATCTTCAAGAAATCCAGACGCGGCCAATCAAGCGCGCACAGGTCTACGAAGACATCGAGGCTGTACTGTGTGCGCTCGCTGCAATCTCCACGATGATCGCCTTTAGCGGTGGCTGTGCTGCATCTCCCAAGCCCTTGGCTGCCAGCCTATGACGCAGCAGCTACCGCTTCACCGACCCTGTTCTTGCCCTGAATCTCCTCCAGCCTCCCACACACCTCCTATATAACACACGCGCTGCGATCACCTTCCAGCTACACCACAACAAGAACTCTGCACAAAGAAAGCGATTCGCCAACTTCCAAACCTAAACTACTACCTCTACCAACCAACAAACACAAGCAACCATGGGTCTCATGTGGCATAAGGGCTTTGGCGGCAAGCACGCCGGTAAGTGGCCCGCTTTGGAGCCGTCTGTTCCGGACACAGGCACCAGTTGCTGACAAGATACTAGGTGGTGGTGTTGTCGCTGACCGTCACGGCGTCCGCCGCGCTCCCTTCCGCTTCTCTTGCGGACGCTTCAGCTGCTTCCGCTAAGCTAGTCGCCGACCCTTGACGACGATTCACGACCTGTAAGCTTTCTGCACGACATTCTACGATGACTAGTCCTGACTTTTCCAGCTTCCATATCCCACATTTCGATGATTTCCTCTTGCGACGGCGTTGGTGCGATTGAATACGCATGGCGGCGCGTACTTCAAGGAGAAGTTAGGCGATACCACGAGCATACATCTGCGACGCAGTTTCATGCTTCACAATACCCTCAGTAGCCTAATACAACATGTCTATTCTTCACTGCACTTCCACACTCGTCGCACGCAATCATTCGTCCTCCAGGGCTGTGTACACAACAAACAAGACAATCTGGAACATGACGTCAGAGCCCACATCCTTGTCACAGCTCCACATCCCAAATCCATCACGCGCCACAATGTCAAACCTCATGGCGGGGCAACCGCGCAGGCACACAGCTCCAAGCAAAGCCAATGGGTGAATATCGCAACGGTACCAACCCACGATATAGCAAGATGCGGTCCATCCTCATCATCAACCCAAACTCCACGGAGCAAATGACCAACGGCCTGAAGCCGCTCGTCGACGCCCTGCAGTTCAAAGACGTTACTCAGCACCACTCACCACACCCACCCAGCAACTAACCACAGCTAGCAGACCGCTCACGAGTACTTCACCGCCCCCTCCGGCCCCAAGAGCATCAACAACGAAGACGATGCCGCAGAATCAGTCAAGCACTGCCTCCCCGCTCTCCGCGAACAACTCGCCCGCCACGATGCCTTCCTCGTCGCGTGCTACAGCCAACACCCGCTCGTCCCGCTCCTCAAAGAAGAACCCGCCATAAGAGATACGAGAAAACCTGTCACGGGTATCTTCGAAGCTAGTGTTGGTGCCTCTCTGCAAGCTATCCACCCCGACGAGAAATTCGGCATAGTAAGCACGGGCAAAGTCTGGGAGACTATCCTCACGGATGCTACAATCGCCTTTTTGGGCACGGGCTCAGACGCGGGGAAACGGTTTGCAGGCGTTGAGACAACGGGGCTCAATGCGACGGATCTGCATGATGCGCCTGCTGAGGAGGTGAGGAAGAGGATGAAGGATGCGGTTAGGAGGTTGTTGGGTAAAGGGAAAGTGGGCGCGATTTGTCTGGGTTGCGCGGGTATGGCGGGCATGGATGAGATGGTTAGGGAGGCTTGTGTGGAGGAGTTGGGGGAGAAGGAGGGAGGTAGGGTGAGGGTTGTGGATGGGGTTATGGCGGGGGTTGCGTGGTTGGATGGGGCTGTTAGGGCTGGGTTCTAGGATGATATTATGTACATGTAGTAAATGTCTGTTTGTGAAGACCTTGGATATGCGCCATAGATCTGTAGAAACCTGATCAAGCCGCAGCGGGTGGTTGCGACATCTCCAGCGCTGGTGCAGACCAAAGACGGGATGACGTAGGCGGAGGGGAGGTGGTGGAGGTCTCTTCCCTCTACTTACGTGTGATGTCCCTAGGGAAGACTGAACACCCGTAAGATGGATGAATATAATGAAGCGAAATTCATATTCAGATAGCATTGATTCAACTTGGGAGACCCAGAATGTTCGATGTCAAGCTGTACTACTGTAGATGCTGTTTGAGTACGGTGTTGGACCTTGTGTTTTTTGGACGCCTAGTAAATAGACGTTACCCTTGTGAGACTTAATCTTTTTTCGGACTTGAGATGCCCATTTGAATCTGCTAGTATGGAATCGCAGTGCTGTAGTAGCATGTGAAGCGACCGCGGGTAGTTGCGATGGCCGTTGCCGGGTGCTAATCATAGGCCGGATGACGTATCCGCAGGCCCACAAGTTCGGACCCTCGATTATGCCACCGATATAACCTCAACTGTATGCTTCACGCTTCACTCAAGCCTCGCAAACCACAAATCTCGCAGTCGCCATTTATAGTGTTAATTTTCTATACACCATCATGCAGTCGCTGCCAAACGAGCTGCTGGCTCAGATCGCCTCGCATCTCGCAGACCAAGCCCCATCAATCACCAAATTCCACCACGAGCCGTCTTCGCAATTAACGAACTCTGATTCTATACCCTTGAAGACCCTCTCCCTAGTGTCATGGATGTGGAGAAAGGTCGTGCTTCCAAATCTCTTCCAATACGCCCGTATAGCACTGGACAAGGAAGCACTATGGGTACCAATGGATGCGCGACTCGTCGATAGCATGCAGGGAGAGCTATCCAAGTTGAGTAACCACGAGTTCATGATTTACACAAAACTTCGCAGCAAGTTCAAGAGCACCTCTGGATCTGCTTTCGAGCCGGCTATGGACGACGTGCTTATCCAGTTGTGCCGCATTCAGGATGGAGACGAACATCTCAAGGCGACACTGCGAGCGGCGTGGATCCCGCATCTTTCGAAGGACTTCGACAGGTTCACGCAGTTTGTCATGCAGAATGATTTGAAACGCCACATCAAGAGCTTGGTGGTGCATACAGATCAAGAATACAACCTGTGGCATGTATCCACCGCTCACGACCACATGCTGAGCTCAGTCACCGATATTTGGACAAAGACATTTTCGTGTCTAGAGCCTACACGTATCGTTGTCGCTGCACCACCAAAAACCATGGCCGCACTGGTAGATTCTGCCGTGGGCACCAACGACAACTGGGCTTTTGAGATGAAGATGCACTACCTCGAGCTCCTCCAGAAAGAGCCTCCACCTGACAAGACTCCGGATAGCGAACCCCGGTATTCTAGCTGCCAACTCCTGCGGTCAAGACCCTGGCACCACCTCGGCTACAACGAAGGTTCTTCCATAACCGTATACAGCACCTACGAATTCCATCTCATGGTGCCGCCCCGCATCCTCGAACTCCTCCTCTACCGTATTGCCAGCTTTGCCAAGAAAACGGAATTCTGCCGCCACTTCACGTCGTTTAGCTTCACCGCTGTTTTCCCTCTGTTATCAGGTCTCACCCCCGTACTGTGCGGCATGCACATGATCCCGTCCATCACAAAGGCTACTTTCCAGCTCGCCCCCGGCCCCGAGAACGACCTCCTCAGCGACGCGAGCAAGCGGCGCAAAGCCCAGTCTTCGGATTTCTGGTCCGAGTGGCGCATGGGATACAAGCAGATTGCTGATTTTGAGTTCTTTAGAAAGGGTAAGATGGGGGGCGCGAAGAGTGCGTGTAGGACGTTGACGGAGATTGTGAGTAGGGACTGTTATACGGGACAGTTGAGTGATGAGGTTACGGAGGCTGTGGAGTGGGGTTTGAAGAGGGATGGGTTTGGGTGGAAGGGGGATGGGGTGGGGAGGTGGGTTAGGGATTTGGAGGAGGGGGAGCACCTTGTATAGGAAGAAAATTGAATAGGTCTGTTGCCTATATCGATGTTGGGTTACTGGCTTTGTGTGTTTTTATGTTGATGTAGGCTGCAGACCTATTCAGGATTTTACGCATGCGGTGTAAGAGCTGCAGCATGGGATGCCGCATACACCTTCACGCTACATTTCAAGTCGTAAGCCTAATTTGAATTTGACATATGGGCTTCTTCGGACCCCCCGTATTTTCACATGTCTAATCAGCGAAGGCCTCGTCACAATATTGACACCACCGTCACATCACCACACCAGCACTTCCATACCCACGTCTCCCTTTCTCCCATCCCCAACTCTACTACCTTACACTCTCCCCTGACCCCCCACCATCTTCTTCGACCCAACATCCCAGCATACAAAATCCAATGATCGAGCCCGTCATAGCAACAGCCCTCATACTCTCCATCCTCGCCCTCATCGCCTACTATCTCCAACCACAACAACCACACCACCAACGCCACTACTACCACCAAGTCAGAAGATCGCGCGTCATGACTGATCCCCAGCGTCGTGGACGTGGTGGTGGTGTGGAGCGAGGAGCGGAGAGAAGAGGAGGAGGAGGGGAAGTGGAGGTGTACGAGCAAGAGAATGAAGAGGGAGAAGGTGGAGATGACGGTAGAGGGGAGGTGGCGATTGGAGTACGGGAGTCGGGTTTGATTGGGAGGGGAGTTGTGGGGAGTAATTTGGG